TGACATCATAGAAGACAAACCTGTTCGCTAGCATTATAAGAAGTGTAGAGCAATTATGAAAAGAAAGAGGAAATAAAATACAAATTGATCATCGATTAGTTGACTGTAGTGATGTCACTGAAGGAAGGTGGGTTTTAAAGCTTATCTTTCTGAAGGTTGATTTAATCTTCATTTATTTACTAATGTCAACAAAACTCTACAACAAATAAAAAAGGCAAAAATGTTTTAGTTGTGTTGGTGACAAACTGTTTTATTGATTCTACATTGGAGCCTGCATAGCAGCTTAAAAACATGAACAAATGCATCATCTGTATTTACAGCATTCAATCCCGAAGCATGTGTTTAAAATAAAAAAAACCCTTTTACACATTTTTTTTTATAGAATAATGATACTAAATTAATAAACTTTAAAACATGCTGGCAGTTCAGGTACATTTTCCCAGCCCTCCTGTGTCTACTAGAAGGAGAGAGATGGAGGATACAGCTGAGGGGAAACAGTCACTGTGAGGAGAGGCGTGGTCGTTACAGCTTAAAGCCCAACATGGTGGTAAGAGATGACTCATATCCCCTTGGGATGGACATCTGGTCGCGTTTTTTCAGATTCGGGTGCAGACCCAGCTCTGAGCTCGCTGCCATTTATCAAATCTGATGTCAGACCAGAACTGTTACTTCACTGGGCTCTAAGTGTAGCTGATAAAACATCACAAACCCAGACTGAAAATTAATGTTTTGCAACTTTTAAATTAACAAATAAATTAAACAGATCATATGATTTCAAAATAAAATTTACTTTAAGTTTTGGCTTACTGTAGGAAAACATTATTTTCTTTTTTTTTTTAGGATTTTTTCCCCTGAATTCTAAACTGTTTTGTCTAAAAGTTTAGAATAGTTTAGCCAAAATTTCACCCAGATTAGTGAAGCGTAATATGTGTGGGCAGATTTACATTTTGTTGCCTATCAGATTTGAGAAGGAGCTTCTTTGAATATCATAGCCTGAGGTTAATCTACACTTTGGACAAATCAGCTCTAGTGATATATTAACAGTCTCTGTCCTACTGAGAGGTGAAGCTCTAATCCTTTCTTTACAGGTTTTCTTTCAGTATTACTCTACATTTACACCACTTTATCTTTCACGCCCAAAGCATGATGCTGCCTCTGTTATGTGTTATCACGGCGATGGTGCAGTCAGTCTATGATATCTGATCGAAGGACTTTGTTTTCTTACATACCTTTAAAATAGAAAACACTTTGACTATTTTTTTTTATTGGAATAATGATTAAATTAGTTTAATGAGGCTGTAAGTTTAAGTAAATGCTCTCAGCCTTCCTATTTCTAGTAGAAGGAGAGAGATGAAGGATATAGCTGAGAGGAAACAGTCACTGTGAGAAGAGTGTATGTAGAGGCGTGGTCGTTACAGCTTAAAGCTCAACATGGTGGTAAGAGATGACTCACATCCCCTTGGGATGGAAGTCTGGTCGCGTTTTCTCAGGTTTGGGTGCAGACTGAGCTCTGGACTCACTTCCATTTAACCTTCATTTATCAAATCTGATGTCAGACCTGCACTGTTACTTTACTGGGCTCTAAGCTAATAAAACATTGCAAACCCAGACTGGAACTCAGATCCACCATTAATTTTTTCCCCAGAAGCATCTTCATTTTGCTGTCCCTAAAAATCTGACAAAAAGAATGACATCATAACTGCAGAGCAAATAATAATAAAAGTAAATAATAATTTCAGGGCACAGACAATCAATCACATGTTCCTCAGAAAAACCATCACCTGACTAATCAGCTACGGTCTTACTTTTCTTTTCCCAACAAAATCAATCTGTAATTTACTGATGAGAGTTTAACAGTTCTAGAGTAATGAGGCCGTCAACATGTGTTATTCCAAGGACCTGGTCTGCCTGCTAAAACTGTTTAAAGTCAGTGAGCAGTCAGTTTACCCAGTTTATTCTGTTGGCCTTAACGTCACTTTGAGCTAATTCTGTTCAGGGTCTTGGTGGAAGGGAAATTTAAAAACCTGATATATTATCAGACTGCACTTATAGATACTCTGTCTCTCATTTGGGTCAGGCAATATAATTGCAACTGAAGTTGATTATCTTAATGTATAATAACTAAGCAAGCAGAGGATCACTTGGAGAGAGACGTGACCCAAGGATGTCACTAGATGTTTAATTCTGAAAGCACTAAGCAAACATGACAAGGATTTTCTTACCTGTAAGAATTTGTGCTGGTAACAGCCTTATGCCACCTTGGGGGTCCGGCTGCTAACTCCCTGCTCAGGCCAAAGTGTCTTTGCACTGTACAGTAGTGTGTCCTCCTTCAAATATGGGGTGCTCCTTATTTCAAATTCAAAATTATAGGGTAAAAGTGATTGAGTGTCTTTCATTGGTTTAGAAGATTAACCTCTTCGGGTTGTTTTTTATTTTAGCGTTTCCATGCTTTCTGAAGGGCTGACTGTTATAGCAAATGAACTCAATACCTTCTCTATTTGCCAACAAACGGCTGCACATCCATTCATCTGTAGACTGCCTCACTTCCTGTTTTAGAAGACAGCTTTCCTTGGTACAAAATGGATAACTTAAATAGTCATAACAAGCAGTAGTTTACAGTAGCCCCCTATTTCTTTTCCTGGATATTGTTTCTTTTATTTCTTATTTATTTTTTGCTTGCTTTTTCTTTTATCACAATATCATCAACAAAGTCAATATTTTTCACAGTTCATTCTACCTAAAAAACCCCAATCTGCAGTAAAAGGAGTTACAGTAAAAACATGATCCTATGGGATCTGCTACATCAGACCTCTGCATCAACATCGCTTCACCGAGCTGCAGAGGGGCCCGTAGGAAATCAACGTGAAGGTCCTCTCTCCTGCTGACTTAATCCCACACTGCACTTCAGTCTTCTAAAACTGCCTACAGGAATCATTTCCATAAAACAGCAACACCCCCACTGCAGTGTGGTATGTTGTGAAAATCTTAAATTGTTATGTAGTTTAACAAAAAAATGCATGGAAATGATCCTCGGGTGGAGGGGCTGTTTTTTTTTTAATCCTGAAATTAAAATCTAAATTGTGCAGTTTAAAAAAAAAGATTTGTAATTTTGATAGGCTGTTGTTATGTGCTGTAGGTCAATCCCAGAAGGCTGCCATGGAGATAGCCTTGAGAGGAGATAATTAAATACTGGTCCCTATGGGAGGTCCCACCTGTTTCAAAGACAACAACCCTGCTGAGAGCTCCTGGTAAATTAATCACATTCAGCAGGAAGGGAGCACTCAGCAAATTGAAGCCTGATATATTTTATCCCAGCTACATATTTTCTCCTCAAAACTTTCTTTTTTTAACCTTAATAAAAACGTTAAATTCTTAACAGGTGGAGTAAGAGTGGGGGCTGAGACTTCCAGATTGATAACGATAAATAAAAGATTATAGGATTGCTTACATAAACAAAAAATAGAAGCAATATAAAAAACAAACAAAAAAAAAAACCTGCTAAAGACCCACTAAATTTAGTTTTTCTTAGATCCAAGTAACAGTAAACAATTTATGTAGTTTCACTTTAAGTTTCCAGCAGTTTTTAAAGCTGTAAATTTCCATTAGTTTTTTTTTTCTTTTCTTACTAAAGAACTGTAATATAAATACGGAGAAGCATCTTTATTAGTGTGCAGCAAGATGTCGATGGAAGACCCCTCTCTGTTTTATATAATTTAAGATATTTAAAAGTTTTCAAATGGAGAAAAAAACTTTCATGTGTCCTATAAATTTGTTTTACTCCTCATGCCTTTTTAACCATCTTCTAAAGTTTACATGGGAATGCTTTTTGTTTGTTAAACCTCTCAGCTGGGACGTATGAATCATTCAAGGCAAAAATGTACCGAAGCTCGGGAGATTAACAAGCATTCTGCATTTTTCATTTAAGTACCAAAAATGGGTGTATAATAGTAACCTACTATACATATACTGATGATGATTTTGTCATCTTTAAAACATTGTTTTATTTTATTGGGCATTATCTTTAAAAAATTACATTTTTTAAAAACTATTTCTATATCCTGAAAGTCAAGGGTTGCAAATTTGTGGTTGTTAGAAACATATCTGTAGCATCTATTTCTTTTTTAGTAAGTTTAACGTTTCTGCCACTGTTAAATTAACAAATATAAAAAATACCATTTACTTTAAATGTTGGCTATCTGTAGTAAAAACAATGTTTTCTGATCTTTTTTCAAGATTTTTGCCCCAATTCTAAACTGTTTTGCCAGATAATTTAGAATATTTTTGCCTAAATTTTGCCTTTGGCAGATTTACATTTTGCTGCCCATCAGATTTGAGAAAAATCTTCTTTGAGTGTCTTATATAATCTACACTTTGGGCAAATCAGCTCTAGTAATATGTTAACGGTCTCTCTCCTACTGAGAGGTGAAGCTCCAATCCAGTCTTCAAGGGTTTTCTTTCAGTATTACTCTACATTTATACCAATTCATCTTTTATGCACATAGGAAAGAAAAACACCCCACAGTATGATGCTGCCACTATCATGTGTTACCACAGCAATGGTGCACAGCATTGAGATCAGTCTGTTATCTGAGGACTTGTTTTATTCTTTATAGGCTTTTGACAAATTGCAAATTAATCTTATTAGGCTGTTTTTCTTCCCAACTGTCAATAAAAATATTAGCTAATAACTGTATTATTCTGTAACCTAAACCGACTTTAAATATATCCAAAACTTTATCCCTGACCTACTGTTATCTTTGGTCTACCACCGTTCAAAGGTTCCCCATCCGTAATCTACCACTTTATGTACTAATTTGAGAGGTGGTGCAGTTATTTGAACTTGATTTTATTTATGGATATCAGAAGGTAAAAAAGAAAAATGCTGAAGTTTGGTTTGATGGAAGCACAATATTTTTAAAAAGTCAGTTCAGTTCAGAATAATATACATCTATATTATTTCTTGTACAAAGTGAAAAAAAACACTATCAGACATGAAGAGGTCTTGACGCACAGAAGAAACTTTATTGATCTTATGACTAAGGCTTTCCCTAAAGTAGAAGGTCGCTGCGCGTGGATTCGAACAGCAAAAGGTTGCAGTAACAACTCACATACTTATAAATAGGCACATACAATCATTTCCTTTGTAAGTAAAAACTGAGAGATGCACAATCTTGGTAAATAAAAAACACCTACATCAGTCACTACATAAGGAAATCAACCGAAATTATCTAACAAGGGCATGTAACATCCAACTAATCTATGATTGCATACCCTAAATTTTTTTTTTACACTGAATCCCACAGGGAGTTTTAAAGGCATCAAAGGCTGCCTGTTTTTCAAACAGAAGCCCCTTTACAGGATTAAGGCCTCTTCTCATGATGTGTCCTCACTGGGGGACTGTCTCCAAACATTATGACTTGCATCATGTTACCACAGATTCCTGATCATTTGTGTTTTATGTAACCTCATCCAAAGCCGACAGCCTCCCAGCCACACAAAGCATGTCCACTGTGTTCTCCGCTCAGGGTTATATAACTGGTTACTTTACTGTAGCTCTGACGAAAGCCACAAACATTTCCGAGGACAGTGTTCTTGTAAGGCTTCTTATCATGTGATACCAAAACTAACGCAACATGCTGGCAATAAAAAAAAAAAAAAGTGCACACTGATCACAGGTGAATTTTCTTTTATATGCAAGGAACATTCTGATGTCTGTGCATAAGGCAAACATATTAAATCAATTCTCCTGCATGTGAGTTATGATACAAAACATGGATTTAAAATACACCTCCAATCTTTGAAGAGGACAGCAAGCAAGGCACAAAAACTTGGCTGCTGGAAGCTTTTAGAAAAATATTACCTTTTGTTGAAATTATAATGCAGAATAAATGGCACAACAGTATTAAAAATCTCTGCAGACCACCTGTTTTCTGACTGGCTTTGTTTTACAAGGCCTCAATCAAGAAAAAAGGTTGATTAAAAGATTAATCGATGTAATTGAATCAGGATTCAGATTACTTCTCTTTTAAGAAATAGGTTTAACCAACAACCATAACCTGGTCTATAATGTTATACATTATTTCTACATACAAATACCAACTGCTGAAAGAAAAAAACCCTGCATGTATTTTTTTTCCATATGGGAAATTAATACTATGATAATAACCTATTTGGTGTAAAGTTGGAGAAAGCAAGTTCACATCAACTATGCAATTACACGCTGTTTTATCCTCCACTGCTAAAAAAAAATAATAAATCAGCAGAAAATGCACTTATGATACCATGTCTTAGTGTTGTTACACCAGGAGTGACTAAGACCTGCATTTATAGGGACTGTTTGTCATTTTTGAAGTGTGGTTTTAGAGTTAATCAAGTGTTAAGGTTATTTGAACCTGTAGACTGAAGTTGGCCCAAAGGAAGAAATCAATGTCTGTGTACAATCCCCTTCTCAGAAGCAGCTAAGCAGTTTTAGCAAACACAATTTTCTGAACCTTGAAAACCCTCTAATGTTGCCTTGGGTGGTTTACAACACATATGAACACCTGAAAACAAACCCGTCACATGCTACTTACACCTTCTTTCTAATCTAAATATCTGTTCCAGGCGCTTACAGAAAGCCTAATCAGTCTATGATCCCATGGCAATGGCATCTTTAGTCAGCAAGTGTTTAAGATCTTGCAAAGCTGTTATGATTAATAAATTAGCTATAATATTCTTATTTGAACAATTCATGCAAAGGGATCTTTTACTCCTCTGAGAATCACTTGTGTCAGACCTTATAGGGAAAACAACTCCAGCCACAGTGTCTTATCTACAGTTTGGTTTGCTTTCCATTGTCCTCATTTATCTGGGATTAAACAAGGGGTAAAAATGATATGTTCCTTTTTCCTGACTGGTAATGAAAAGGGGCGTGGCCACAGGCTTCCTAACTTAGCGGCCAACTCCCAGAACTGTGGGTGAAGGAAGCAAAGGTTATGCCTAAATTACCGGAGTTGGATCAGTCTAGGCCCATCAAGTTGTGTAACTATTTTGGGGACCCAACATTTTTATTTTGGCTTAATTTCGCTTCATCTGTTTTTTTCCCTGCAGATGACAGCATGGTTATCATTACTCACTTGTCAGCTAAAAAGAGAAATGATAATATCGGGGGGTGGGGGGGGGTCCTACAGAATTTTATTAGATTTTTTTTCCATAACTTTGAAATTAGACATATACTCCTTTGTTTCACATAAAAAGATTATGTTTTGAGGTTTTGCATTGCATTCTTCTTTCGTTTCCTATATAAACATTCATTTGACTTTTTCTGTGTAAAACACCCAAATCAAACTTGTTTAAATCTCAAAGGTTCATAAAATAGTGCAGATACTAACTGCTATGACTTTTTTGATTATAGAAAGGCTTCAGGGTGGTCAAAGTATGCTTTTGGGCTTTGCTCAATATTTGAACTAAGCTAGCAACCAAGTCCCACTTTAAGTTTCCTTATAGTAAAAAGACATGTTTCTGTCAGCAACAACATTCAGAAAACAGATCGCCTTTTAGATGCATGGTAAAGTTATTCATTTTGTTCCTGAAAGGAGCTAAAAAAATTACATTAAGACTCCGCTATGGGTCTTAAATAATCTTCATTTTACTCAAAATACCTCAAAGTCAAAATCAGGCACTCTTAATTGACTGTGGCTTATTCTACCATAAAAGTCTATCTAAGTTAAACTGATCAGCCAGCTTCCAGATATGCACCTATAACTCTTCAAGCAAATGTAAACATTCAGTGATATTGCACTCAAGCAGCTTACAAATATACGGAAGAATCGTTTCTCAGCAAACAGTCCTGTATACTCTTAAAGTGCTTAGATGGAAAAATATTTGAAATCGTCAATAACACTGGTGTCAAAAATCAGATGAAGCAGGAGGGTCGCGCCACCAGCATCCTAATGCAGCGATTTGGTTTCTGTATTTGTGTTGTAAATGTCAAACAACCTTCCCATGCTCTCTTGCCTGCAAAAAGAGAGAACATGCACAAAATTAATGACTGCATCTGTATTTAAAAAAAATATGAAATTTATGAAACTCAAATGCACCACTTCTATGTGTGAATGATAAGTGTGGGTGGTTTTTTACATGTCAGAGTGGATGATGAGATATAGAGGTATTATCTACTCTCCAACAGGCCCTCAGGGGTGGTGACTATACTGGGATCAAAGCTGCAGTGCAGATATACTTCACTTCTCTTTTCATCCATCTAACTCCTCATCCATCCTCCCTTCAGTCCATTTACACATCTATTAAATCCCCTCCTCCTTCTTCCTCTCCCTGCCACTGACCTTGTCATTGCTCGTGGAGTGCGTTGGGTGCGACTCTCCTGAATCTATTCTCAGGACAGACAGAGAGGAATCTATCAATTCTTCTGTGAAGAAAAAACAAGGAGACTAATCAATATACCTTTTTAAAAAGCACCCATAAAACTATGTTAGATTAGATCACACTAAAACAGAAAACTCCAATATATATTTTTTGGGTAATAGAATTCCTCAGAGAAGTACAGCATTCTAAATACATGCTTTTAACGCTTCTTTTTGATAATGTGAAGCTGCAACAATGGTTCTTCTAGGAACTACAGCGGCACGTCTCCACCAGCTTTGACCCAACGACTGAATACATTCCTCATTCTTTGTTGGTAAAAAACTAACTTCACAGTAAGTTTTGCAGTGTTAAAGCAACACTTTAAGAGTTAGATTTAAAACCAATCCAAGTGCATTTGGTCCCACTGTGAATTAGTGTTAAATAACTCTCTATATAGTATATATCTTACTCCAGTTGTCGTTGTTGTAATAAATCTAAAAGAGTAAATGTACTTTGACACTACATATTTAAAACTGTGGATTTGACTGTGCTCCATCAGATTGGATGGAGAGCAGCTATTGCAGACTGGAATTTGGCTGATATAACAGGTCAATATATATGATAGAAATATTTCCATTGTAGCTCCATTCCCATGTGTTGCATTGCTGTCATACTGGAAATGCTATGGTATGTTTCGTTTTCTATTTGAGGAGACAGATGGGACAGAGCAGAGTGAGCTGTTAATAAAACAGCTTTAAACCTTCCACAACTTTATCCCTAAATTATGTAGTGTGCATTTTCCTCTCCACAGTTCTTTTCCTTTACTAACTCTGCAGTACATATTGAGCTGATGAAATAAAAATTATATTACAAACATTGGCAATTTAATCACTGATGGTAGATGAAAAGACTGGATTTTATTTAGGTGTAGTGGAGTAAATGGAGCCAAATACAGACCAGAATTTCAAAGTTATATTTGTAAAAAAAAATCTTGAAAACCATGTTTCATTTCTATTTTACTTCACAGTTAATTGAGACTTTGTATTGGTCCCCATAAAACAGATTGACCTCTAAACATTAAAAACTTTGTTCAGATGCTGCAATATTGATGTGTTCTGTCATCAAAGCTGTTAAATACCAGTGTTTGTGCTGCTGCTGTTGCACTTGGACACCTCTGCAGGCTGGATAGGGCTCCCGTGTGGAGAGTTGCTGCTGTTTTCAGCAGGAGCGGAGCTGGAAACTGAAGGGCTGCTGGTGTCATTTTTAATATGTTCGGTTTTAGATGCCTGCTGCTTGGCAACTGAAGGAGCAGGAAGACCCACTCCTTTTTCCTGGGAACTATTATCTTCCTGTTGGACACTTACATGAGGCAGCTGGGAGCTCTGCATCTGTGAGGAGGCTTTTAAAGAGCCTTTGGATTCTGGAGCTGCAGAATGTATAGAGGTTGAGGTTTGCTTAGCTGGAACCCTCTGGATGAGCTCCTCTGAGAAACGTACTTTCTTCTCTGGTCCTCGGGGGGATGCGGTCGCCACTTTCCTCTGAGTAATGGTATCCTCTTTCAAGCTACCAGAATCACACATGTCTTCGGTCGCACTCAAGGGACCGCTCTTTGCTTTTGAGTTCTGATCTTTTAGATTCCCTCCGTTAGCTTCTGTTAGGGCATCAAGTTCTTCAAGGAATTCCTCCAGTGTGTCAGTAGTCTGAAAGATCAAATCAAAGAACAAAGTATTAACCGGCTATATTCTTCGCAACCTGTGCACTTTACGTTCAAACTTAGTCTCTCACCTGTGGATTGTCTCCCTCATCATTATCCTGCCATCTGAAAAAACATAAAACCTTATCAGTTAAAATTCAGAAACTGCTTCATCAGCTGAAAATGTAAAAACGGAAATATAGACAAATTATGATTGCATAGACATTTTTGAAAAACTTAAATAAAAAAACATTTAAAAACCAGCTTATAGATGTTGCAATCTGATTTAGATATTGACTCAGAGAGCGGATCAAAGCATTTGTTATTGGTGTCAGACTCACGGTATCAAAATCTGATAATTAGATCGGAATTGAGCAACATGTTCACTGTCATAAATGCAATTGACTGTTGGTAGGCTATTATATTTAGAGTGCTGTTGTGCATAGTATTTGGCCATCTTCTCTGGATTTTATGCCCTCTTTTTTTATATATATATATATATATATATATATATATATATATATATATATATATATAGTTCAAGGGTGCTTAAGTCTAGTCCTCAAGAGATACTATCCTGCAACTTTTTAATGCACTCCATTTTTAACACAATTGAATAAGTAGCTCATTACCATGCCTCTGGTGGCCTAAATGAGAGGATTGAGCCTTTAGATTCAGGTGTGTTAGAGAAGAGATGTATCTAAAAGTTACAGGATGGTAGCTTCTGAGGAGTAGACTTGAGCATCCTTGATATAGTTAATATCGCAGGTGTAAAACTCAAGCCCCAAGGGTTGAATCAAACCTGTAACTACATTTATTAATTCCTTGACAGCCAAAAAGGGCAGTAGAGACATAATATATTTTAAACTGTTTAAAGTAACAAAATAGTTAACTAAATAGGAATGAAGTTATAACACCAGAGATGTTGGTTTTTAAATGAAATGATGAAATCATAAGTTTCATTTAAAAAGTTGCAACTGGGTGTTTTTAAGACTTTATGATGCCAAAGTGGTTCTACAGAAGAATTTGTTTGCCACCCCCGAGTTATTACCAACCATTATGCCAAAACTCATGAAGACTTAAAGGGACTCACTGAAAATACAGCTGTATATGGTTTTCCTAAAGACCTTTTAGTGCACTCTCACCTCTAATTAAAATACTATCGAACCAATATTAAAACAATAGTATTTATTTAAAACAGAAATCATTTAAAACCGTGGCATACCTTGATGTGGGCAACCGTCTCATTCTTACTCTGACCAAATGTGATTGTTGTCTCAGCCTTTAAACCTTAAACTTACTGGATCTTGAGAAGTTAAGTGAATAAACTTTTCTCATTTAATTGATTCATTCACCAGAGAGAAAACCTAAGCTTATATTAGACTGTCCAAAGAGCTTTTATTCAAAGTGATTTGTAATGCGATTCTCAGTCATAGGCTCCATTATCTGTTAGTGGTGATGATGAGACCTCAGGGAGCTCCATTTCCGACTCAGAAAGCGAGGCTGTGATCAGGCGTGTTGAAGCTCTCACCAACCTCAAATGTGTTGTAAACTGCATCAGCAGCACAGTTGGAACCTCTCAGGACACACCTGACTGTGCTAATCTTTACCTACACTGCTTTTGCTCACCGTGTGATGAAAAATCTTTTAATTTAAAGTATGAGCTGCTTCTAGCTTCTCTTCATGCCCCGTTAGTTTTGGCTTTGAATTTTAAATAGAAGAAGCTCTTTCCCCCGTGCTTGTATATAGTATGTTTTTTAAAAGCTGGAGGAGACAAGCTGACTGCAGCGGATGCAAACAAGGATTCTTGGGTTATTTAATCAGCTGCTGCAACGTCTAAATCAGGTCTCATGACATGCAGCAAGATTTGTACACAAGGGCACAGTTCAGGGAAACAAAATGGCCTTCCCACATCCTATTTATGCATCTCATTAGTCATCGTTCTATCTCTCATGACTGCTAACTGATGGGCATCTCGATGTCTGAAAACACTTAAATATGATGCAGATTATGTTTTGCCTCTCACTGACCTCCTGGCCCTCCCAGTAAGTCGGTCTTTGCCTTTTGCTTTGCTGCTCATCACAAGCACGTGTTTAGCTGCCTTGTCTTTGCCTCGCCTGTCGTGACCTAAAATAGAGGAGTACAGATTAAAGCTACATTTTCTTCGACATGTATTATTCATACCCATTAACTTCAGCATGTTTTGTAAGGATTTCTTCTGTGATCAACCAACACAATGTATTAACAATCTGTAAAGTGGAACAAAACAGGAAACAATGTTCTCAAAAAAATCTACTAGTCAAAAAAAATCCACAATAATTGTTAAAAAGTTTTGCAGATGAGTTCAATAACTTGTTCAGCGATCTTTTGCTAAAGCTCAACAAAGTCTCTGCCTTTTTCATTTTAATTTACGAATAGACTGTGTACTAAACATCATTTTGAGATCTTGCAAAAAGTGAAAATGTAAGAAAAAAACGATTTAAACTCCAGAATGAGCTTTGTATGTCTAGCGTGTTTTCCTCCAGGTATGGCTGATACTTATCTCCATTCTTCTTTACATCAACTCTGGACAGTTTCTCTATCCTTGTTTAAGAAAACTGTCCCACATTGCTCAATCTCACCATTGAAGGGACACTGAGAAAAAATTTGTAGAGTGCAACGTGGTTCCTTCCTGCCAGCAGATTCTCCCACCCGAGCTGTGGACTTCCGCAGCTCCTTCAGTTACCGTTAGCTTTTTTACTACTTCGCATAAATATCGCCCTTCTGGAATGATTTTTTTTCAGCATAAAACCAGCTGGAATGGGGTATCCTAACCTTAAAAATGATCAACAAGACAATCATGTTCTTTGCAATTCAGTTCAATTCAGTTCAAAAATATTTTATTGCTAAAGGGAGTTTTTTTCAAATAAGTTGCTATAGAGGCGATCTCTATGGCCTTCACAGAGCAGCTATATTCACACTAAGCTTAAAATACACATATACACGTCTATTTGTGAATGATTTGTCTTCTGATGACCGTTTGTTTTAATCTAATTAAGAAGTACCTTATTATTTGTTGTTGTTTTTTTTTTACTCTGCGACTTATTCAATTATACACCTTTTAAGGTCCACGTTTGTATGAGCACTTTTGCTGTAATAATTTTGCTGCTGTAATGCCACAATTTCCCCGTTGTGGGACAATAAAGGGGATTTTCTATTTCATTCTGAGTAAAAGGAGCCAAGCACATAATGCATGTCACATTTTCAGCATTTCAATTGGCTCTATGTACAACACCACTACTTCCTAAACTTAGGCCAGCTCTTTCCTGTCTTTCATTACTTGATGAACTGATTAATCCAGGTGAGCCTGACCTCGGTAACCGTGACGACAGTGGTAAGACACAGCTGAATTAATCTGTTTATCAAGTAATGAAAGACAGGAAACAAAAGAGTTGGCTTAATTAAACTGAAAATATCAACAACAACAAAAACAGATGATGATACATTAAAGTTTCCTGTGTGACAAATTTGAAAAAAGGTATGAATACTTTTGGAAAAGAGATTCTGAAGCAATGCACCATGCAGAGAATACCTCTAGAGCCTGCTTTCTGTTGACCTCTTCTTGCATTTCGTCCTACAGAAACCACAAAAAAGCAGAAATAGGCACCCTTTTATTATAATATTGGGATGTTAAAGGTAATTATCTGCTTTTTATTTTATTTTATTTACAAAAACCATCATCTTACCTCTTGTTGAAGCCCCCCAGTCTCTATCAGGAAGAGATTTGTCTGAAAACCTACAAGCAAAAATGTGATTAAGATGAATATAGCTAAATCATGTCCAAGTCCTATTGAATTAATCCCAGAATCATAATACTAAATTGTAATATCATAAAGAACCAATAAGAGACTTTGCCTCACACCCAAGTCTCACACCCAAACAGTTTGCATTCGCTGAAACAACCAAACTATCAAATAAAAAGCACATTTCCGCCTGTGTTCTTGCCCAGGGGCCTTGTTTAAGCTTTGCCAAATAAGGCAAACTATTCCAATGCTTATCCCTGGCTAAAAATAGCCTGTCCTCCGTTGTCTCTTTACATTTAAACAGCACCAGTAATTTGCTCTTTGCACTACACCTCGACTTGTTTGAAAGTCAGCAAAACATTACAAAATGAGGGGCTGAAGTTTTGCTTCCAGGCATTTAGGCTCTGCAGGATCTCTGCAGGCTTTACAAAATATGAGAATACTGAACCAAAAATTTAGCCTCCCCCCCATAATATTTCAACAGCCATAAATAAAGTGTCCAGTGCCTTGCTGAGTATTCAAGCAGCTAGATTTTTACTAATTAAGGATATCTTTTACTAAATAAAGAATAATTTTCCCCCCTCCCATCTATTCTGAAAAGGCTGTTAGATTTTTAACAACTAAAAACACTAAAATATATACTGTACAGGCACGTGGGGAAAAAACACCCCACAACATCCTGTGTTTCTCAAACATACACAGTCAAACTGGTATCCAACAATGATACAACCAATGCTGAAAAAAGAAGAAGTATGAAAGCATTTTATGTCTTTATGGCACAATTTAATTGAGAAACATTTTGCTGTTATTACAGCATGAAAGTTCACTTCACAGCGACCACTCCCTGCATCCGGAGGAGTTTTATTTTGATTGTTCTCAGGAAAGGCTACTATAAGAAGCAGCTAATCCAGACATTTGGAATTGAGAAACTTTCCTGGATGGGAAGCTAAATGTATTCTAACTTGAAACTAAGTCCAGTGGTTTGTTTTTTAACTTTTAAATATTTTTTTTTTTGGAATGACTATGACCTGGACGACTGAGAAACTACACCAGTATATTATTTTCAGGTACAGTATGGCAGCATGGTTGGTCAAATGGAGCCCATACGAGGTAAAGGGCATGAAATCTTTACAAATGGGGATCCTTTCTGCAGATTTCATGGAAGCAGCATCACTAGGGAGAACATTTTGCATGTTTCTTATTGCTAATTATGTATCGTTTAGTATAAGCCTACGATGGAGGCTACACAGCAACGCAAAAAATAAAATGATTATTTAAGGGAGGTGATGTTTTCATTTAGTTTGGCAAAACATTGGGAGTCTAAAAGAACAAGAGCGATCCTCCTAAATAAAGTCCTCTACAATATTCTGAGTGCTGTCCTTTTGAAGAAGCCTAATGTAAAATGTATGAAAAGTTTTGCTGAAAATAATTTTGGTGGACATGATTTCATTTCAAACAAAATATTTCTTGCCATTTTGGCTAAATAATGTATCTGAATTTTAATAAAGAGCTATTTGAATGTAGAGGAGGGTTCTTTATGCAATATAAAGGTTGTGAACATTAGACAAAAAAAAAAAACAGGAAAGCATTTTTGAAAGGCATTTGGTCATCAGATCATAAATATTTAAAAGTGCTAAAAAGGCTTGGTGGGAAAATGTGATATAGTAAAAGGCTGAAACACCACAGCGAAGGTGTAAAAAAACCCAAGAACTTAGCACCATTTTGGAGGTAAAACATCCGTATTCTGAGAGGCCTTACATGCTTTCGGTTTTGTCCATGTCCCACGCTCGTCTCCACTGGCCTTTTGCATTTTTGTGGCGTGCCACCCTCTCCCTGTCAATCTGCTCACGTTCCTTCTTCCACCGAAGATACTCCTCCTGCTCCTCCCTTGATGTTGGGATGTCGAGGTCTGTGTTCGCTTGTTGGCTCTCAGGCTCCTACTTGGACACAAAAAATGTCAATTTATTTTAAACCACCCAAAAGAGCATCTTATCATACAGCAGCAAGAAAAAGCGAAGTTGAAATATATTTTTCTTTAAATTCATGCAATCTACTTTGATTTAGATGACCACCGTGGCCTTACTCTGAACAAAGAGGGTCAATAATTCAAGAAAAGGCAATTGTAGACCTAACAGAATTAGGTCTCCTTCCTTCAGGGGTGACTGCATGATAAAGGTAGATCAGAGGCAGACTTAAATACATCAAAGGGGACACAGATTGGATGGTGAAGTTATAAAACCCTGGAAGAAACCAGAGTAGTAAAAGGTACTGTGCAGTTAAAAATATTAAGGAACTGGATAGAAAATGAATTTCCATCTCAGTCTTTTTTATTTCTTAAACACTTATGGATTGAGAGCCAGATGCTGGTAAGAATTGGCAACATTTTCCGCTCCTGTTTGGACCAATCGAGGAAGATGAAAACATGTTCTCTGTGCCCATCCTTTTGTTTACCATCATCTTTACACCTCCCTTATCCGTGGCCCTCACAGGACCTCTGGGGCCACATGGGAAGTTAGTCTCTCATGTTTCAACAGGTCCCCTCCGACTGCTGCCACAGATGCTAATTAAATCTAATATTCCTGCTGTTCTGTGTGGCCTGACATGTAAAATGATCAGAGACAGGAGCTAAGTTCATTCTCTTGTCTTAGACTCTAAGACCTAAACAAAATATTAAAAACTACAATCAAAGGATGGAATTGAACTTAATCCTGTCCCCACTGAAAAAAGCTGTAAATGCAGCTAGGTTTCAAAGAGAGGATGGTGTGTTCAGGGACATGGAGTTTTCTCTTTTCCCACATCCTTTTGCACATCAAAATAGTTAGAACTTTGACCCTAACTAATTAATTCCACTCCTTTAAATGTGGAAAGCTGCAAATGGGAATTCCAAATGTTTACTTTCCACAACAGTTTTCTTTTGACACTCCTCCAGAAAAGCCTTATTTTTGGAGCAGTTTTCATCTCAAACTGTCTGAGCTTTAAATCTCTGCAGCTCCTCCAAAGTTGCTGTAGATCCTTTGACTGTTTCTTTGAACATTGCTTTCTTTAACCAGTTTGCACCTTGGCAATGCATTATTGGTATAACACGAAAAGGGGCAGTGAATATGATAACCATGGGATCTTTTCCTTCCATTTAACAGGTAGAACCTGGTGCGTAATACCCTAGGTGTGAAAATGTGATAAAATTAAGACTTAAGAATCAATCTTAAGATTTTAAGCAGGGTATATTGGGATGAGTTTGGGAAGGAGGAGCAAAGTAACAGTAGGATATGCTCAAAACAGTGTTATAACTAATAAAGGATTGCATGCAATGAGCATTTGGATTTGTGTTTGCACCGTTACTATGGAGGGTGAGGAATGCCACAGTTCAATAAATGATTACCTTAAGAAAGATTTGTTTTAATGCATGATTAATTTATTGAGATTGGAAATAAATGTATACTTAATTAAATCGACCCCAGTTAAATATACTGATTTTATTTTAAGAAGTAAATATTGTTATTTAAGGATTTATATGGAGAGGCAAATCATGGATTAATTTTAACTCTGAAAATTCAAGGAGGCGGAATTAGTGCTGCTCTTATACCCACATTGATGTCTGATTTGTTGCTTATAACTGAGCAAGTCAGAAAACCTCTTCTTGGTTTTCTTTTTTACTTGAAAGTCTATCTTTTCACTGGGAAAGTTGGAAATAACTTTAAAATGTGTTTCAATTTGTTTACAGCAAATGATGTAAATAAATGAAGCCTCTATTATCAGAGCTTGATGTGAATTATATCTACTAAACTTATAATAGAGTCTAGTGTGGCCTAGAGTGGTAGGAGCTGCCAGATACTTCAGCAGAAATAAAGTTAGCTCCGCCCACTGACAAATGCTCTCTCATTACCTTTTTAGAGACCCATCTGTGGATATATAGGCTGCATTTGCTCACACACTGTGCTGTTAATAAATGGCAACACATTTTAGAAAAATATTTACAACTTTTTTAATGATAATGTTGACATTAGAGTAAAAGGAAACCAGGAAGAAGGTTTCTGGGCTTACTGAGTGAGAAACAGCCAAACAGATGTCAGGGTTTCTATGACATCTAGTTTCTAGTTCTGCTTCTCGAACTTGGTTATGGATGGATGTATGACAGTTTAAATTAATTCATGGCGTGCCAGTGTAGGAACATTAAATCATTTATGAAATAATATCCATCTACACATTTAACTCAGATCCATAAAATTAATTACATACATTCATTAAATAACTTATGCATTAATTTCCAGTTTTAGTATATTAAAGGTAGAGTGGAGGATTTTTTTTTATTTTTGAAAAGACCGACCCTCTCCATTTTAAAAAAAATACACATGCACAAACACGTGCAAGAGTATGCACAAGCCCATTTCTCCTCGTGCACGCTCTGTTTAAAAGCTGCTGTTTGCATCACTTATACAAGCTGACTTTCCAAAAGAAGATTTGCAATTTTTCCACTATGTCAGACTAACCACCAGTAAGTGAAAATGGGGTAAGATCTTAGGATGACCTACCTGAACATATCACCAGAATGATTGACAGTTAGGAGGACCACCTATTTTGATGATCCACCAGGAAAAAGAACATCCTCCACTATACCTTTAATATAAGGTTTAAATAATTATTTCATTAGTTATTTAGTGTGTTGTTGCTCTCAGCTCCTTCCATATGTCACATGGCATTTCTGAAAATCTGTAAAGGTGTTCTTTTCTAAACAGACTAACAAGGCTTTTATTTAGATGAGTCAATATTTTACCTGCTTTTGCTCTTTAGCTTGTTGTTGGTTCTCCTCAGAGTTCACCGACCCGTGTTTAATCTCCTCCTGGCAGTGAGGAGAGACAGGATGGTAAAATTAGAGCTGAACAACAACAGGATGACACAGCAATTTGTTGTTAGGTAGTTTAATGTTGCTGCAAAGAGCAACATCTCTGCTGCTGCCCTAGAAAGCTAAATAAAACCAAGGTAGGTCAGGTGACTCATCCTGATTAACAGTCCCACGCTGCCCTCCACTGGTTTCAAACTGTAAAACATCAGCATGATTCAAGGCAGGATACCTGCTCTGTACAAGTGTCTTTACAGAAACCAACCCTACATTCTCCTTTTCTTTGCTGGTTATTGCCTGGAAACCTGCCAGCAGCGAATCTCTTTGGCTGCATAATGAGCCTTTTTGGAGTGAGAAGGCATTTGAATGTTAATTAGATCAAATTGGCATTTTTCTGAGTGCAGGGAATGAGAAAATAAACATGTCAGAGAGCAGACCCTCACTCCTGTCTGTCTCTTTTGTCACAGGGACCGTCGAGTGTCCAACCTGAATGGGGGACACACCTATGAGATCCTCCCAAAAATCCACATTTGAAAATCTTTGAAAGGCTGGGCAGGGATGTATCGATCCTGAGTGTACCCAGAGTCAGTCTAAATATTTTCAGATTTATATTTTTTTTTTAAACTCTGAATTAAAGATTGTATATCCATTATGTGTCCTCCTATTAAATCAGAATGTAAACCTCACATTTAGATCTTTTTTTAAACAAAATACATTTTCATTCCACTGTACAAATACAACTTGATGAAAATGCTGACAAATTTATTTATGTTTGCATTTGTAATGTGACAAAAGGGGAAGATCTAATAGAAGAATGAACACTTTTGCTAAATATTGTAAACAGTCTCCATGTGGTAGCAGGCCCTGCTGCACTGCCAGATAGCTGGAACTTTGGCTACTTTTCAAGTGCTGATTCAGTCCACATGATAAATAAGCAGAACAGACCTTGCGGGCCTGGAATAAACGACACCATAGATATAGAGTCTCTATGAAGGACACCGAGTTAAGCCTGTAGCTTTTAGACCACATTGACTTGGAAAGCTCTCTGCATCAGGAAACCAGACAATCATACAACATGATTTTTATATTTAGAGACCTCTTCTTAAAAATCTGAGCGTGTCTGTGTTTACAGTCATGAGGGATCATCTGCATGCTCTGCAGCTTATTAACTTGAGCAGCTTGTTTGAAAGCCTGCAAGTGTGAGTGTTTGTTTCAGTGAGACACAGCAGCTGTCCCAGAGTTTCTGCATACCCAGGGGGAATGAGTTCAGCAGAAGGGTGGCATTTCAAAGCTCATGTGCCCTGGGTAACATCTGAGTTCTCAAGCCCACTGTAGCATGCTTAAGAGCTACATATAACTTTAAGACCAGATATCTAAATACAATGTATAAAAGCTTACTTAAAGGGCAATTACTTTTCTTTTAAACAATATGAAAAGCTAACTGCAGCTAAAAATTTGTGTACACCGTTTACTTGCTGATCACTGCTGCCCTTAATGGTAATGGTAATGGTCATTCCACTGTTTTAAGCTGCACATTTCACTGTTGGAAGCTGTAAGCAACATTATTTCATTTTGTATATACTCGGTGTATAAAAATGACAATGAAGTTTGTCTAAGTCACTAAGTGTATGGATGGATTTCAAAATGCACCTTAAACATAATGCTAATACAACTTTGTGAAAAAATCAAACACAATTGTTTAAGATATTGGGTATAGAAATTTGCAGCACTATAATGGCAGCACTTTTTTTTTGAAGACATTACAGACGGTTTCTTTGTTTCAGAGCTGGAACAAAACAAAAATACTCTGTAAAGATGCTGTCTGAAGCTTTTTACAGAAACCTAAAACACACAATTTTTTTATACTTACACTGCATGAAAAGTGGGATTTTCGTCAATATGCGGCACTGTAGATTGTCATGGAACTTCAGGTTAGCGGCAGTTTACGACAATTTGCAGGCTTCGCCGAAAACTCCCGTAAATTGTCAGAAATTGACGTGGACTCTCTTAGGCAGTGTTCCCCCCATGCCTCCCCCCCTTGGAATTCTAGGGGAGGCTTTAACATGTAAATGAACATGCTGTGAGCTATACAAATGCAAACCAGGGTTGCAGGGGGGGTTTTACCCCAAGTGACATCTTTCTGGGTAAGAAATTCTCTGATACAAAGAGATCAGGCTTAGTATAGCCTCTTACATTTTAGCTTGAATTGATTTATTTAATTAAAGTATAGAGACCAAAACAGATCTTTAGCTGACAGAGCAATACATTTAGAGCAGTAATTATAAAAAAAAAAATTGCATTTAAGATAAAAAATAAAATGTTGTCTGTCAATATGCTCAATTCACAATTACTTAAGTGGAAAAGTTTCAAGAAATGAGTCTGAGATGATTTACTTTATAACATGGCGCATTATCCTGTTGGAAGTAGCCATGAGAAGATTGGTACACTGTGGTCATAAGGTCCGGCCAGGTCAAGATCCGCAATTGCAATCGCACCAAACAGGAAAAAGAACATCGACAAATTCCGGTTCGTCAAATTAAAATATAGCAGCAACAGATCGGTGACTAGAAATTATAGCACAATTCTTATATATATATATATATATATATATATATATATATATATATATATATATATATATATATATATATAAACTAACACCGTTTATTTAAATGATTGGATCCAAACTATTGGTTATTCACCAACGAGGAAGCAGATTTCTCATCTCCATCAAAATATTTATTTTATACCGAGGGACTTAAACTTTAATCAAATCCATTCAAAAGAAACTTCTTATTACAGGAATGAAAAGAGATGCTGAGTTTGGAAGTAGTGAACAAGTTCATTCAAAAAAAAGCAGTTTTGAAATATCCTTATCCCCGTTACAAAAATCTACATATATATTTGGGCAGAAACTGAACATATGCTGGATGATGGTGGGATTTTTTTAATATGTCATATTAAATTAAGCACTCACAGGGTTCATACAGGAATGAGTGACTCTAATTTAATGCTATTTTAATGCTATTTGAAATGATTTTAATGCCATCATCAAGAACCATGTACACAAGTTATTAGTGTACATGAAATATGAAGGAGCTGCAAGCAGAGTTCCATGACTCCTGTATGTATGTAAACACACACACACACACATATATACGTATATATATATCCTCTAGCTTTTTCTCCGCCTGGAGCGATATAATATATCTGACGAAATTGTTTTTATAAGCATTTTTTATTAAAGAATTATAAATACTTCGATAAACATATTTAAATAATTTTAGTGCCAAGTAAGGCCTTGATAAAAAAAAAAAAAGAATGATTTTTAAATTATTTTTATTGATCCGCGGACACCCTGGTTCATCTCGCGCATGCTCCCTACGATCTCCAAGAAACTCAGATCGGCGGTGTGCAGCCACAGTGGAGGATGTATGCTTTGCTTTGTGCAGCGGTCTGGAGCTTCTGGATTTCGGGGTAAAACTCCTCTTGGACGCGATGGCGACTCTGCATCGAACAAGACGAACTCAAAGAAGAGATGCTAGCGGTAAATATATGTTCGATTACTGCCTGCTAAGCTAAAAGCAGCCTAGCCTAAGCTACCGGCTAATAGTGGCTAATAGTAGCCTTGCTAGAACAAGCTTTATTAAAGTGTATTTTTTGTGATTTACAGGAAGCAGTACGCCGTCTTCACAACTCGGAGACTAATTGCAGGTGCTATGAACCGGAGCAAGGGTAAGATTTAAAGAATATGCTTTCATTCTGCGGTAAAAGGCAATGGATATGGATGGATACCGATCATAGCTTTTACATTTTGTTTTCACAGACCTCCCATCTCGGCAAGTCCAGATTTGCACGATGTTGATAAAGACGACATTGTGTGTAAGTGACTTGTTTTAATGTTTTCTCCTTCCTTGTTACTGTGACTTGCGTTTGATTTTTTTATTTATACCACTCTCATTTAATTGTTTTCCAGCTGCCTGTAAGACGTATTTTGAGACGGTACGCAGGAGCTTCAGATATACGCTGTTAGCCACACGCTGCGTGCGGAGGCTATCTGCTCAGAGTCGGGCCAGAAGAAAGAGGGTAAGACTTTATTTGGTGACTATTTTTCAGGTGCATTAATAGATGTGTTGTGTCCATACGCAGTGCGCTGATTCATTGTTTTTTTTTTCAGCTGCTGAAAGCGAGGCAGAGTGTGCTAGCAGATGAGGAAGTGGAACTCTGGAAGTCCGCCTTCCTCGGCGGTGTCTCTGGATGGATTGTACGGTCGCCGCCATTTCGTAGGCCGGATCTCACTGAACTCTGTGTTAAGCTGCAGTCCCGGTTAGAAGCGATGCCGAAGTACAGGGCCACGCACACTAGGCGTCTGCACTAGTGATGGGCTATCTGAAGCCAGGCTTCGAGGCTTGTACCGAGTAATAAGGGGGCGTGTCAATGAAGCCCCGCTTCGAGGCCTGTGTTGTCTTGTTGAAAACCACGTGACTGGCAACAAACGAGGCCTCGCATTGCATTGGTCACGTGACTGCTTCATTTTGCGTGTCGGTTTTCAAAATAAAAGCGCGATGAATCCTGTTGCTTTGTGGGTTGTAGTAGGTGGTTTGGTCTCAGCAGAACAGTTTTCATCAGCAGTGGTTGTAATAGAGCCGTCAAAAAAGAGAAAAACCTCTCATGTGGGAGTATTATGAGATGACAGATCACAATCACAACCTGAAACAGTGGAAAAAAGTCCTATTCCTAAATAAAAACAATTAAACCTAAAATCCAGAAATTTCTATATTTTCTTTTGTTTAATCAGGAGATGCATCAGAACCACACATCAAAACCAGACTAAAAGCCATTAGAAGAGGCAAACTCTATGTGTAACTTAATATTAAGAATCAGAACTAGAACTCCTAGGAAGAGATGATTTTAAACAAATTCTGTCTTTAAGGAAGCAAGTTTCAAGCTCAAAGTACACAGAGTCTGCAGCAACAGTCACTCAGTTCTCAATACATTAAAGTAACACATCTTCATTGTCTAATAAGTCCATGACATAAAAGAAAACCTAACACCACCACTGATGGTCAAGGATTAGATTGGCTACAAATCATTTTAATCATTAAAACATGACAATTGAATAGGATTCTCCTCTTACTAAACATGAGTTTGATGAAAACTTTGTGACAATATTGCATTTCCTAATATTTGGAAGTATGATCCAACTGAGTAACAAGGCTGTTACAGTTTCACCAGCAGATGTCACTAGTGAGTGATGAATGAAGCATCGAGTAATGAACTTTTTTCAACACTTTGCGTTGGAAAGCTTCATTGCTTCATGAGGCTTCACTTGCCCATCACTAGTCTGCACATCGGACCTGCCTCGGAGGGAATGCTGCCAGTTACCTCCAACCCCGAGGAAGCAAACGGACCGTTCACGGAGTTTTAATTTTTAGAAACGCATGTGTTTGGATACGTGTTGTATATAGTTGTGTTTCAATAAAGCTCTTTCTTTGCATAAACAGCTTCCTGGCAAATCTTCATTTCCTGTATAAATTCATTCATGTCCTTGATGGTAGCATAATAATTGTGTAGTAGTGTAGGATAACATAAATACACACCATATGAATGAATGAATAAATAAATATATATATATATGAATATATATATATGTAAATTTATATGTAAATATATATATATGCCAACCAATCACAAGCGACTTTACTTGTTTAAAAAGAAGTGGTTCCGTCCAATACTCAGTAAGAAAATTAAAGCCTGGCGTGGCCACGTGTGGTTTTGCTGCCAATCACGAGCGATTTTACTTGTTTGAGAATAGTGGTTTCAGCCAATACTGAGAAGGTTATTCAAGCCAGACTTGGCCAGCCGCGCGGGTTTGCTGTATTCATATGCTAATTAGGGCCATTAGTACAGCTGATCGCTCTCCACATACGTCACGGTACGTTTCCGACAATTTGTGGCACGACAAACGCGGACAAGCACAGGTTGCAAATTGTCGGAAACTGACGAAAATCAGGCAGATCTGCAGGAGTTTACGGGGGTTTACTGGGACGAAAATCTCACTTTTAGTCTTTTTACTTGTTACTTGGTCTGGCGTGCTGCTTGCATCTCTCTGCTCTGCTGCACCCTGAAGTTCTCCAATCCCAAACAGACTGTTAAACACCTCCCCTAAGCGCTAACCCTCTGTTTGCACATTCCCACGGAGGGTCCATCACATTAAGGTCCATCCCAAACCACATATTGGCAAAGGCGAGTGGCCCGTTGAGCCCTTAAATAGCAAATTTGCATCAGTGCACCTACAGTATATTAATCTCTTCTTAACTCCTTAACTCTAATTTGACTTGAAGATACCTCTTTGATGTGGGATGAAACTTCTAGAAAACCTCACATCAAGTTGCCTTAAATGTAACTTTCAAGCTTGACCATGACCTGGATGACTGAGGAACTGCACAGGCATTTAAATTAGCAATTATGGCTGAATCAGAGGTTCTCAGAGGTCCTCTCATTACAAGAATAACTTTATGTCAAGCCGCATGCATCTACTGATTGCTTTTGTGCTGGTTGCTGGCTACTCTCTGCTCTGCTTAATTCTGTTAAGTGGAGTGAGCAGACGCACACATCTCTCTCCTAGTGAACCTCATTCCTTTCAGCTGTTACTTTGCCAATTAATAACCGTCTCTCTAACCAGTGCTTTTGTGCACTGCGTATGTTTCTGCACTCACCATTTCCTCCCTGAATTGTCATTGACTTCTGACTGGTCACAACCTGGAATGCCTCTGCCTGTTACTGTTCTATTCTACCTGCCACCTGCCTGATCAGCCAATCACCTATGCATGGTCTATGCAACGATTATCTGCCTTCTCAAGTCTGCTACCAGCCTGTTGGACTACAACTCCAGCTCAGTTTGTCATCCTTACAGACTCTCAAAACTAAATATCCCGTTCTCTGAAGCATCTTGTAAAAATTTGAAAACAAATTCAACATTAGACCTCCTGTGGTCTAATGAAACTAAAATTCCAGTCTTTGTCTATAATAACTTTGTTAACGGGGGCGACTTGCAAGCCTTAGATCACCATCATAGCTGCAAAGCACAGGGGAGAGAGCATGATGTTGTTCGGGAATCTTGCTGTGGTGGGAATGTCGTGTGAGGAAATGCTGAAGCATTGTCTCCGGACAAGAAGTTGTCTTCTATCATTCCGATTTAAGCCTGTTCTGTTGGTCCCATGACCCAGATGACTGAGAATTTACACAGACATGCCAGCAGTTCTCAGGGTATTAATCCCATCGGTAGAGCTCAAAGACAGTAAGTGAACAAGACGGCATATCCAAATGTTACTCAGAAGAAACAATCAGGAGGAATGGTTCCAATGTTCAAGAAAACCATTGAGAGAAGATACAGTACTTAAGGTTTGATCCAAGTCATAAAGTTTAAAGGCAAGAATGCCAAACTATCAAACTAAGGAAAATTTTCAACATTGTGGAGAGGGTTAAAAAAAAGTCTCATTATTGTGACATTAAGCAAATATATAAGGAAAGATGATCTAATGGCAGACTGTATAATAAATATATATATATATATATATATATATATATATATATATATATATATATATATATATATATATATATATATATATATATATATATATATATATATATATATATATAGTGTAATATAAAGATTTTGTGGAGCCTGTAAACCTTTTATCATAATCCCATCAACTTAAAGGCAGGTGTTCAGTGGTTTACAATATAATTATATCAAAGTTTTAATTAGACAGCTGGCTTTTTACAGAGCAACAGCCCCCCCCCCCCCTTTATCCTAATTCCCACAGCAGTAAGTCACAGTCTCCGTCCCCCTCCTGTCTGCTCCTCATTGTGCTCAGTCACTAGAGGGGACGGCTGAGCAGACATGTCTGACATCTATGTAAAACACAGGGGTGCAGCAGAGAACAAACAAAGAGGAGTGTGAGACGAAGCAGACGGAAGAGTCTGAATCAGACCTTTGCTGCAACTGCTAGTGGCGATTCTCGCTTAGTCGTCTTAGACGGCTGCTTTCCTCTCCCAGCTGACTCCACTCGCCTCATCTGTCCTTCATCCGAGGGGCTCTTGACATCTGTGGGGCCCGGTTGTTTTTCTGGCCTCTCACTCACCACCCTTTTACCCTAGAGAGAGGCACTAACTAATGTTAGAGTATCTCAAGTGCTTTACAGTAACACTGTATATCTGTTGTTTTAGAACATCGAAATGCTGATGAAGGTTCTCAGTCATCCAGGTCATAGTCATTCCGGAAAAATTCAAAAAATATCCACTGGACTTGGTTTTCAAGATAATACCTGTCTATGATTGAGGAACGAGGGACCTACCCGCTCCAGCCGGTGAACAATACCTCCTTAACGACCGACCCTTAACAATCATAGACAGGTTTCAGGTATTACAGGAGACAATCCCCCCTTAATGGCAATCCCCCCTTTAACGACCGACCCCTAGTATCATAGACAGGTTCAGATATTACAGGCTATCGATGGAACTAAACGACCCATTCGTCGGTTACCATTTGCATGTTTCCAAGCAATACAAGGCCTTGTCCATATAAGACTCAAACTCACTGCGGATCCAGACATTTGAATTGAGAAAGCTTCCTGGAGAGGTGGCGAAACGTCTTCAAATCTTGAAAACAAAGTCCAGTGGATATTTTTTGAAATTTTACGGTAGGACATCGAAACAGAATTTTTTTGTGTCATTAAAAAGTTCTGTGTTTCTTGGATGCAATATTTGGTAAGTTAAAATAATTTAGGTGGTCTTTTCTTTTTTTTTTTCTCTCTCTAAAATAAAATCTAAAGCCCGAGGAATATTAGCACTAAGAAATGTTGTATTTGGTGGTGTCTGAATCTGTTTTTAAACTAAATCTACAGAAAACTTAAACAGAATCACAAGAGTAACAAGATGAGGAAGGACTTATCCTTTTTCAGTGTTATAATGGTGTTCACCAGAAAGTTTTTTTTTGTTTCTTTTATGATAAAGCTGGTTTCTTATTTCCCATATATAAGAAAATAACTCATCTGGACTGGATCTAATCAGCATCGTGTCTTTTCTTTATCCTCGCTGTATTATAAATGTCTTTCTGTCATTTTAAAGCTACAGTGTGTAACTTTTAGCGACATCTAGCGGTCAGACTGCAGACTGCAGCAACATGAACATCTCCCCCCCACCGCTTCTCCCCCCCAACAGTACGGCGAGCGTTACGGGACAAAATGTCTTCCACGACGTCCGCATCACCTACCTACTCAAGTGATGAGGTTTGTTTACATAGATAATTTTAAAGGTAGTATTTCATTAGTCTGTGTAGGGTATAGATTTCATGTAGACTTAAGAAAATAAATATACCCGTTATTTTTTCTACATCGTTGTGACGTTTTGGCGTTCTCGCAATCGCTAGTTTGTTGGCTCTGCGCTGCCGTAGCGCAAAGATGTCTGCCCCCATGGCTGCGAGACCCGCTCCTATGTAATTATAAATAACGAATTCTAAGGCAACGCAAATATTAAGGATAAGAGGCTGAGCTCGTAGATCATGATAAATAACATAGTTATGTATAATATATTACATTTCTGACTGTATATCCCTGTAATTATTACACACTGTAGCTTTAAAACCTAAAAATAGGATTTATATTTAAAATTATTTCCACTATACCAAGTTAATTTATTTAGATCAATTTCTTTGATTTGGATTATTTATATCCTTTCCATCAATCGCTGAAAACATCTTTACTGGCAAATCTTACAAATTAAGCATAAGAGTGAATTCAATCTGAAGGACTCTTATCAGCTTCACCTGCAAATCGCAGGTGGTTCAGCTTGTTCAGCTCCAGCCAATCAGCTCGGGGGCGACATCTTCTCTGAAGCCAATCATCTTTCATGATCCCCTTCATTTAGCACCTGGCCTAACTTCTCTCTCCCCCAAGCAAGCAAACTTTCACCCACCTCCACCCCATCTCCTCCCTCACTCTCATTTCGTTTGTCTTTATCTGCTTCTGTCACCATGAACCCTAGTCGGCCTCCGCAGATGGCCGCTCACTCTGAGCCTCGTTCTGCAGGAAGTTTCTTCCTGTTAAAAGGGAGTTTTCCTCTCCACTTTCACCACATGCTTGTGAAGAATAGTTGTGATGGATTGCAGAGAGTCAATGAGTCCTCGCAATCAGCTGGTTTTCCTTTTGATGGAAATATTTAGAAGAATATGACCTGTACAAATAATTGAATACTTTTCTAATTGCAGCTTTTCTCTGTGTGAGTCTCTCCAGGTTGAAATAACACTGAATGAGAATATGTGGAGAGATAATTAGTGAGTTAATATTTGATGATTAGGTGGCCATAAATGTCTTCAAAGATATCCTTTCAGAATACCATAGGAAACATGCAAGGATAATGCCAAACGAATCCTTTTTTTTTTTTTTTTTTGTTTCTTTATTTAGGTTTATATTCCCTTACTTCGTTTGGCTGCACAGAGAGCAATCTTTTTATATAAATTTTATATATATAAATGCATTTATTTACCTCTTGAACTAATACTGAATACCTTTCTTAAACACATTTTGTTTAACTAAAAATAGATACAAATTAAGAAATCATGCTTTAATAACGTACATAGGAAAAAGGAAATAAAGTGTTCCTTTATTGAATATGTTAAAACCTCTGAGCTTCTCTATATGCATAGCAAAGTGAATTTACCTTTCTTCCAACCATTGTGACCATCAGCTGCTTCCTGGTGCCTCGCCCAGCCTCCAGAGACGAGCCTTCTCCCTCCCTGTCAGCCCCACCCTCCTGCTGCCCTGATCCAGCTGGAGACCCACTCCTGAATGGCTTTGTTACCACTACACGACTCTCCTGCCCCCAATTTAAAAAAAATCAAAGGCTCACAAAGCAGTTTTAAATAAAATATACCATGAACTCAGCGTGCTGAAGGAAACATACATCTGCAGACTTGCTGATAGTGACAGTGAGGTCATCAGCTTTGCCTTTTCGACTCTGCAGTGCCATTCCTTCCTCTTCTGCTTTCTTCTTGTCCTCTTCCACCTCCTTAAAAGTAACAAAAACCATCATACTTTAGAGCCTAAACCTTTAAAAAATTAAACATAATAAAATCTACATTGATATTATTTTTTTAAGTATTACTTTAAAAACACTGACTGACACATATGAATATTTCATATTATTATTTTAGGTATATCTGAATACGAAAGTGACTTAATTGGACTTGAACAAAACATATTAGCCTTGTTTTAGTTAATAAAGAAAAGAAATCCTTTGGATGAAATTACTTTTCTGCTTGTAGCCACTTCAGAATTTTCAAAATCAGTCTGAAGTCTCAAGACCTTTGGCGACAGGGCTTTCTGTGCAGTGGCCCCGGCTCTTTGGAATGCCCTCCCCCCTCCTATCCGTTCCGCAACTTCCCTGACACAGTTCCAAAAGCACCTTAAAACACACCTTTTCTCTCTTGCCTACCCTTCCTAACCCCCTCCATGTCCCTACCCCCCTTACTTCACCTCTTGTAAAGCGACCTTGGGTGTCCTGAAAGGCGCTATATAAATCAAAGTTATTATTATTATTATTATTATTATTATTATTATTGAAGGAAGACTCACTCACTTTAGGATTTTCAGTGGGTTCTATGATAGGGATCTGGCAGTGTCCTGGTTCAGCAAAGCAGTCCCAAACCATGACACTTCCTTTTCAATATCTCACAGCTGGGACAAGGTTCATTCCTTAGAATGCAATATTTGGTTTAACCCAAACCATACCCTCTAATCTGACAAAGTAATTCATATTCAGTCTCATCTGTCCGTAGAAAATTACTCCAGTGGTCTGGATCTTTGCTGCTCTTCACTCGTGCTGATTTATGGGGTGGCCAATTCTGCAGGTTTTTTTTATGCATCCTTGCTTCAAAGCTGAATCAAACAAATGGCTCATTACCAGGCCTTTATGGCACTTGCCGGTATGCTGAAGTGGTAGTTCAGTCATTTGAGTTAGCTGTGTTAGCTGCAGCTGGAAAAGTTTCTCTCTCACCATGTGAGTGTTTGACTGCAGCTGCAGTCTGACTAGAGTCGCTTTCTTGCATTGACCACCACAAAAATAACATTAGCTTTAAGATGTTCTAATGGGTAACATGTTTCAAGGTAAACAGGCTAATAGAGTTTAAGTTTTATGAAAAGAAAAGTGAAGCTAAATGTTTCTCTATTACAAAGTAGGCAAACCTGGTGACATGCTGTGAGCATGCTTTCTAGCTCCTGTCATAATTAAATTAATGCAGATTAAAACAGGGGTAAAACTAAGAATGCTCCAAGAATTCAGTTTTAGTAATAGAGGAAAGCTATTACTAGTTTTCCTCTTTAACTGAATAATTTTGGTTCATAAAGTTTAATTTCCTAAGATGAAATTTGACAATTCTGGATTTTGGCCATTTACGTACAATATAATGGTATGAAAATATTGATAAATGCTATTTAATCCAGCAAAAAGCAGGAGAAATCCAGCTTGATTCTACTTTGAATCTGAAAATATAGCTTCTCGGCCAGTAGGCAGCTTCTCCTCACCTTATACCTCTTCATGAGGGCTTCGTTCTTCCTGCGAAGAGCCTCGATCTTCTTGTCCAGCTCCAGATCTCTTTCATGATCCCTTTTGGGCATCACGTTACTGGTGGTCTGGTGAGACACGTTCACCATTACTCAGTTGAAGGCTTCAGATTTTGACTTTAGCTCTGATGGTCATATAAAGAAGACCGACTTCTTATATCTCTACAAGACATAAAAAGATCAAATTTATAAACACAAAGGAGGCAGGTTTTTTTTAAGAAATAAATGCATAATTTATTCATTTAGACTTAAAAATGAAAAATAAAGATAGACCTTAATTGTTTATTAAAAGAAGAACGGTAAAAACTCATGAGAGAGATCCATGTCTGAGCAATGACACATCAGTGCAGCCACCACAGATGGAGCATTCATTAGGAAGCTCAGTTACACATATGCAGGGCATCCTAAACATCCCATTGCAGTCAGCAGGGCCTGCCCTACCACAGTACATGAGGCCCAGGGCTAAAAACTCCAATAAGAACTCATGGGGCAGCAGCTTTACCTCTGCAGCAGCCCTCCGACATCAGATGGCAAGTTGTTGTGTTGAGGTAGCCCCATTTTTTACAGGGCATCAAATATCTGTGACTCAATGATCTCACTTCCTTTGGCCTGCTGTAATCTAATATTCTCTGCTGAATCTAGTTTGTGCAGATGAAGGGATATGGAGCTCATCCGACTGGCAGTAAAAAAGTTTTTTTTTGTAGGGAAAGAAAAACTGCATTATAAGCAGTGAGAGAGTAATCAAATATATTTATATTATAGATTCAGGGAAAGCTTCAGCCAGGTTTAATCAGCATAAAAGAATAAAAAAATGCATATTTTATGTTCTAAATTGGTTTCATTATTTTTTATTTTCAACCTCAAACTTAAGATATTTTATTCAAGACTTTAAGAGCACAAAGTAAATAGTGAGAAATTGTAGGAAAATATCATTAACAGTTTTCAAACTGTTTTCATGCCTTGCATTCAGCTCTTTTTACTTTGATCCCCATAAATAAGAAGCAGTGTGACCTTCTGCTTTAGATACACATCAAAGGACTTCTTATGGCTTAATATTTTCTTGGCTGGTTCCTTTAATTCTGCATTTGTTTTCTTTTGCCTCAATGCTTGGGATTTATTTTTTATAACCTAAGCCTGCTTTAAACCTCTTCAGTCTTTTTGCTTGAGGTCTATGCCCTATTACTTTCGTCATGATGCAGATTGTTGTCAAATGCTCTCAAACGTGTGTATTTATGGTGAATTTAAACTAAAAAAATATTTATTAATTAAGCTGTTTCTGAAGGGAACTAGGTTTATTTCTGAGGGTTTAATAGCAAAATATGTATGCCACATTTATAATTTTTTAGGTTTAAAACAAAGAAAAGGCTAAGCATCTTTTTAATTCACATAAATGAAATTATTTCAAATTTTAGTTTTTGTCTGTTACATCAGGGTTTGTGGTTGCAATATTGAAAAATGGAAAAAAGATTAAAGGAGTGCTAATACGTTTGCAAAGCTCTATATGGATAACCTTGACCTGCAAATCTGTAATTATGTTCTACAATTTTCAAGGGAAAAAAAGCTCTCTATAATATATTCTATTCTGCTCCAAAAATAGGTTATCTGGTCCAGAGAATTGTTTTATTTCTTATTATTTTATAATTGTTTGATTTTTCTAGGCATAGGACAAAAACAAAAATCAGAAAGAAAAAAAATCCCTGGGGGGCTGGATTCTGGATAGATTTTTGTCGTTCATTTAAAGGACATTATAGACCCACAGGACAAGCAATCACACACACGCTCAGACCTGTATGGGAAAAAAGCAGTGCTCTCAAACTAAAGGAATTAATTTCCTGCAACTGTTAGTTCCCACTTTAACACACCTGGATTCAATGTTATATTTATAATTAGCAAGGCTCTGTAGAAGTGAAATGCATAGTGAGAATATATTAGATCAATCTGATTCAGTAAAGTTGGACCAAGGAGACGTTCTGAAAGAGTTTGAAATCCTAATAACAGCTTTTTGTCAAATGAAAATTGACTTTATATTCTCAGTTTTTTGTTTCTCTGATGGGTTTGAGGAGGTGATGTTCTAAAGTGAGTCATTCATTCTCCACTGTTGCACTAATAACAACTCATGTCACGGTTGTTTCCACGGGATAAAACCAGAGCGAAGCAGTGACTCAGCCAGCAAGTGCACAAACACCATCACCATCATTTGAATTCCTGCTGCAGCTAAACCTGCAAATAAAATGCAGAATATCCGATCTCCTATTGACCTGGTAACTGCAGATCTTGAATGGAGTCTCAGCATGAGAAAAGTTTGGACTCAGTCTGAAAGAGGTAGCAGGCCCGGAAAGTGGTTACCTCACTGTCTCCAGTTGTCAGGGTATCCAAACACAACAGACCATGAGGACATACCACCAAGAATAGGCGCAACAGAGAGACGACTGTGAAATCTCAGCAAGTCCAATGACGAACGCTGGCTTTAGTTAAATCAAAGCAAGAAGGAGAATCTGAATGGGGATGTTAAACCTCTGGGTTCTGGAGATTGGATCTGAAACAGTGCACCACATTCACACAAAAATCATACACAGAGACGGTGTGGATGGAGTGATGGCGCCCATGCTCGGGCAAAAGGGCAGCAGAGAAGGGGCCTACAGGGAGAAGGCTGCCAGGGCTTTCCTCCTACCTACAAGAGCCTGGGAGAAAGAATGAGCCAGAGAGAGGATTGAAAAGCTGCAAGTAGCCAGAGCTAAATCTGCGTCAGAGAACCGAAGAGAGAAGGGGGGGTACCCTACACCAGAGAGAGGAGAGAAGGAAAGCAGAGAGAAGATACTCACAGGTTTCTCCATGTAAGCGGTGGGAGCCTGGCTGGGTCCAGGAGCGGGGCAGCCGAGGCAGCAGAGAGGGCTGCCTCCCCTCCTCTATCATGCCTCGATTACAATGAGACAAGTTGGGAAGCAGCCAAGATGTCTGAAAAAATGCACAGAGCTCCCCTGTTGACGGATTTTACAGCACCCACCCACTTGTCCTCTCTCTCTCTCTGTGACTCTGCAAACCTCCCACCTCCGTGCTGCTGCTCCCACTCCACCCCCCCCCTTTAAAAAACACTTGCTCTTCCCCTCCTCACTCAGTTTAAAGCATCCTGCTTACATCCTCCTGCTTTTCCAACACAGACATGGTTTTAGAAATTTAGTGATCAGATTTTTTTATAGATCAGGGACTTTTTTAGATCAGACCAGAGACCGAGATTGTTTAATTTAGAGTGTAACACAAATAGAGAAATATTGCACTGCAGGCCGACTGACTTCAGAATCTAACAGAATGAGAGGGACCAAAGAAATATCATTTTTAATGCATCAAAATGTGTCTTAATACATCAGATTTTTTTTTTAAAGTACATCAAAGTACAAACTTTTGGTTGATCAAAGTTAAGTAATTGTGTACATCCTGGTTAATTTACTACATGTTTGCTTAACCATAAACAGCCTTGTTTTTTATTTTGACAATTATTTATCTTCCCACTGGGATTCCTTCTTTACCTCATTCGCAACCAGACACATTTTGAAAAACGATGCATGCATGATCGTTTTAGTTAATAGGCATGCATGCACTGCTTATTAACCCAATGCGATTTGAACAGCTGTGTCTCCTTATAGTTCAAGATTTCCTTCTTCTTACATAGAAATGCACAAAGCAGACATATTAAGCATAAATCAATTCTGTGAATTGGAGGCTCTTTATCCATCTTATCCTTCAGGGACACAGGAGGCTATCTCCAGCTGTATATTGGTAAAAGGATGCGAACACCATGGACTGTTCTCCCTGCTGCCCTCCAGGAAGAGCCTGCAGCACTCGCTGCATTTCAGCAGGTTCATCTTTTCCCCTGTTAACTATAATCAAGACTCTGCATCACAATTAAGAGCATCATTTTTGCATTACTAAAGTGGCTGATTCTTTCATAATCAGTTTAAAAATGCACTTTATAAATGGAAATGTTCATTTTACTGTTGTAAGTCTCTAAGTCTAAGTCTGAGAAATGTCTCCAGTCCATCGCAGAGCTATTAAAGGTTTAATATAAGATTTTATATAAAGCTATAAGCATTGATCTCCTAAGATTTTAATTTCCCCCTTATTAATTCAGCTCCTGGTGGTGTGATTTACAGTGTAAATTAGGGCTGAAACAATTAATTGGATTAATCATGATTAATTGATTTTTGAAATAACCGTTAACTAATTTAGTAATCGATTAATTGTTACCAGGAGTTTCGAAACTCTAAATCGTGACTTTAGCTGACAGAGCAACCCATTTAGAGCAGTAATTATACCAGGATTGTAGAAAATATATAAACATTTTGTATTTAAGATTTAAAAACAACGTTTAGGTCTGTCAATATGCTCCATCCAGAACTTGTTAAGTGGAAAAGTCTGAGTTTCACCTGGTTTAATTTCAGAAAACATCTTCTTTAAAGAATCTTAGGCTATTCGATTATTATAAAATAATCGACAGATTAATCAGTTTGCAAATAATCGTTGATTGCAGCCCTAGTGTAGATCAAGATGTTGATTATCAAGGTGTTTCTAACAGAGAGTGTAAGTGCATGGTATCTCTGGAGAGATATAATCTTCAAATGAAAACTTTTGATTAAACTACATTAAAATGCCAGGAGGAACCCAGTGCTTTCTTGCTGATGGTCGTGAGACCATCATGATCTTGCGAGCTTTCAAGGTTTCAATCGCAGATCAGTCTGGCTACTTTCCGTTAAGAAAATTTGGAGCCGTTCACCAAACGAACGTCCAATCAGCGTTGGCTTTGAGGCGGGTTGAGGTGTGACGCAACGAGAAGCGCGACAGTTCAGTCTAAAGAACATGGCGGCTTCAGCCGATGAAACTAGCGTTAGCGTGGCTTATCGAGCAAGTTTTATCGGAATTACAGAGTATTTCTTCACTGAAAGAAGAGCAAAACACTGCTCTGGAGGCTTTTCTCAGAGGAAAATATGTTTTTGCTCTTCTCCCGACTGGTTTCGGCAAGAGTTTGATCTATCAATTGGCTTGTGCCTGGCTTGTGGTTGTGTTTTCGTCGTACCTCTGTTAGTACGTCATATGCTTCGTTGATCTGATTGGTTTATTTGGCCCGTCTATCACCAACATAGGCCAATCAGCTAACCAGTATTTTCGCCCCTTCCCAAAATTACTTCAACGGAAGGTTTCCAGATGGATATGCGGAGCAAATCCAGCAAATCCATCTGGCGGAGTCAGGTTAAGTTGAAAGCCCTTTGGGAAACTCCTCCAACTCCCATTGTCATTGTGACACAGCACACACAAGTGAACACTGCACACCATGAAATTGCATTTATGCCTCACCCGTGCAAGGGGGCAGCCCTCAATGGCGCCCCAAGGGAGCAGTGTGGCGGGACGGTACCATGCTCAGGGTACCTCAGTCATGGAGGAGGATGGGGGAGAGCGCTGGTTAATTACTCCCCCCACCAACCTGGCGGGTCAGGAGTCGAACTGGTAACCTTTGGGATCCAAGTCTGACACCCTAACCGCTCACCCACGACTGCCCAAGTCTGACACCCTAACCGCTCACCCACGACTGCCCAAGTTGCATGCGCTCTGTGCAGAAACTCCAAACTTCTATGACCATCATCTCATCTTTGGTACTTTTATCATTTCCCTGGTGGTATGTTATACTACTCTCTTACTAAAACCCATCCGTTCACCTTTAGTTTTCTAGATAAGCAAAAACAGATCGTATCTAAGATTTCTGCGAAGAAATCTGCCGTCGGTTAATGTTTTAGCAACAGTTTAGTTGTTTTTTATGCTAAAAGGCAAGGGAATCAGAGGAAGATGTATACAGTAATGTTTAACTAAACAAGCTTTAAAGAAAACACAACAATATCATATTAAAGATTCAAAATAAGTGATTAATAAACTACAATTAAAGTTCATAAAGGTATGCTGTAGCAATGCAGTGGAAAATATTGTCATGAGACTATTTCTAACATGGTACAAAAAGAGCCATAAAGGTATAGTGGAGTATGTTTTTTTTTTAAGGGTGGGTCATCAAATTAAGTGGTCCTCCTAATTGTCAATCATTCTGGTGATATGTTTACCTAAGGTCGCCTTACATGCGTGGTGAGTCTGACATGGTGGGAAAATTGCAAATCTTTTTTTGGAAAGTAAGCTTGTGAGAGCGATGCAAACAGTAACTTTTTAAACAGAGCATGCAGGAGGAGAATTCGGCTCATGCATGCTGTCGCATGCGTTGTGCATGTGCATTTTTTTTTTTAACTGGAGAGATCGGGTCTTTTCAAAAATTTGCGAAAATTCTCCAATATACCTTTAACAAACTAACACTGGAAATAAGTGCATAGGTCATTTAATTTAACTGCACAAGGAGAAATGCATGCTCTCTCACGGATTTAATAGGCATTCCTTCTGGGGAGCGTTTACAGGGTTGTGCGTGTGCATTTTCTTTAAAGGGGTGGGGGCGGGTCTTTTCCTCTTCTATACCTTTAAAATGGTTTATTTAAATTGATGGGGAAAGGGCCAAAGAAAAGTAGTAGCCAACACGAAGAGAATAAAGATAAATCCTACATTACTAACTTGCAGTGCACTTTTACATTTGTCTGAGGTGTTGAATTCTGGCCTAAAGTCCTATACTATGGAGTTTTCGTGTTTTCTTCCACATGCACTTTCACTTAACCCTACGGACCCACCGCTGGGTCCAGCTGCAACGTGACCTCATAATTTTAACAGACCCCCAGTATTGATGTAAAAAACACATTTGGCACAGTTTGGTGACATTTTTGGATAAATGTGCCAAAATGGCCCCTCCGCCTAAGAAATTTCTCACTAGACAACATTTAGATTTAAAAGTCTGTACTACTTTTTTGTGCTATAATTAATATTTTGGTAGTGTTTTGCAATGTTTATTTCAAAGAAAATTTTGGCGAGGTTCAAAAAATGCAAAATATTTTGTATTTTGTCCCTAATATTTCAGGCAGGGTCAAAGCAACAATGGTGCTGACACCAGAAAACCATTCTATGACATCTTACCTTTACAGAGGTAACAAAAGTTTCTTCTTAAATCTAATAGCTGTGAGGCTATAAGTGATTTACTTTTGTGTGTTTTTGTCAGGCAGAAATTTATTTATCCCCCCTGAGGGTGTAAGAGGTTAAGGTACTCCAGCTTCCCTCCACTGTAATAATACATGATAAATAAAATATTTTAGATAAAATATTTATTCTATAATCTATTTTTAAAGGCTTATTGAAGAGAAAATATTTTACATATTTTGGGTGTTTGATTATTTGGTCTCTGGCTATGCCAATATTAACATTTAATGTAATATTTCATAATAATTAAGGCAAAAACAGAACAAAGATAAGACGCAAAATATCTCCTCACCTGAAATCCGTTTTCAGCGCCATGAAGGTAAAACGACATCCTGACCACCTGCAATATAGCATAATGTCCACAAGTGGGCGCCAGATGATTTTCTACCAACCCGGTGCAGGTACTACACCTGTATGCGTTGTAATAGCCTAAATGCTGCAAATGTAGGTTATTAGAATTTGAATATAAAAATATTTGAAAGCTTTAGAACTGAACTGTGTTTAAAAAAAGTTTACACAGAATACAGTTGTCCTTTTTACAGCAACACGCTACATAGAGGAGACATTTTTAAATTGAAATTTAACAATTCAGAGAAGAATTCAAGTTCATATATTATTAGTATATATTGAGGTCTCAGTTGGTTGCAGTAGAGTATAGCTGTGAAGAGAAATGAAGCAGAATAAGGTACTTAATTGTTTTGTTTTTTTGTTTGTTTTTATATAATAAATCAAATGTAAATTTGCACTGATTAAACATGCTTAAACACCTTCACTGTCTGACACTTCAAAATCTAATCCAATTCAGGAGTCACAACTTTATTCCTTAAAGATCCAAACCTTTTGTATACTTAAATATCAATGAGATTACAGCAAGTAATCAAATGCCTAGGAGGTTTAATGGAAAACTTAAGCAAACAATGAAGAGAAA